CCCGCATTGGACAGGGGGTTGGACTAGATGACCCTGAGGCCCCTTCCAACTCTATGATTCTAAGAGCCTTCGCGGCCACTGAACCAATCAGGTGTCTGCCCGTCGTTGCCTCCCGGAACATGCAAATGACTTGCCCTTATGGATCCACTGACTCCAGAAAATGTTACGGGACCGCCAGTTATCGATCGTTAACGGACCAAAGAACTGGATGCTGGAAAACAGGCCAGCAAAACGGTCATGCAGAAATCGGGGTCCGCTTCCCCCTCATGATCCCAGGGCCACAGCGCAACGGTTATGAAGCTTTAACGGCAAGTGACGGCCGCCCGGTGAGAATATGGCACTCAAAACGTATTAGCATGTACTCCCCCCCCCCCAATTTAAAAGTACAAACCAAAAAAGCAAAGAGAGAGAGAGAGAGAGAGAGACCCGCCCCCCCGGAGAAATCCGAGAAACAGAGTTCCACTGGTAAATACGTGGAGGTGATCCAGTCCTCGCAAGGAAGACAAAAAACGGTGCCTTTCCCAGCTACGGATGTGCAATCAAAAGCAGTCCGCTGAACAGTCAAGTCCCGTCGCAGAGAAGGAAAAGGCCGGGAGGGGAAAGCTTTTATTCTTTGAAAAGGCTCAGTTTAAAAAGTGCAAAATATCCAACAGGGGAGAGGCAAGGTCTTCCAAAAGCTGCCTGCCGGCCTTCCGCTGCCAAGTTAGTGTCCGGCTCAGCCCGCACTGGCAAGCGGGTCTAGAAACTTCCGCACCAGCATTGGTTTCCGTCACTGCCGGTACCACAGGGCGGCGACTGACCCACACGCTCCCCGAAGGTGGAGTCCTCTAGCTCTGGTCCCAGGTTTTAAAATCTGTGGGTCCCAGCCGGGACTCGCTTCCTTCGCTCCGGCTGAAGTCCGCCCCCAACCAAGAGGTCTGCCGTCATCAGTTCTGGGGCGTCAGATGAAAACTGTGCTGATTCTTCGACTCCGCGGCTCCGTGCGCAAGGAGAAGGGGCCCCGCATCCACAGTAGATGTGCTCACGGGAGGGATCACAACGTTATTCTCGTTCTCTGTCAGGGAGCCGTACCAGCCGGGGTTTTGGGGAATGGCTAAGCTATGGAGAGAAGGGGGAGGGGGGATATAAGGATGTGGGGCCACAATTAACATATCACTAAGAGCAGAGAAACACAACACAACTGCCCTGGAGAACAGTCTACACAATTGACTAGTTATAACCAGGGGTCATTTCCTGCGGGAGCGCACAGGAGCGGAGCTCCGGCAGTAAAGAGCCCAGGGGGCGGGCACAGGCAACAAGCCCCACCCCCTGCTCTCAGCAGCCCTCAGTCAGAGCAAGAAGCAGCCAGGTAAGCTGCAGAGCCCCTTCTGCCCCCCCCCCCGGTCCAAAACAGTCCAGTGGCACCTTTAAGACCAAGTTTTATTCAGGTACAAGCTCTCCCTCCTCTGCGAGGACAGATCTGCTCGTCCCCCCCCCCAGCTAGCAATCCAAAACAGTCCAGTGGAGCCTGAGCGGTGGGTGTTGCCTTCTGACACACTTCCCGTGATGTCAGGGGGTGTGGCATATGCAAATAAGTTATGCTAATGAGTTATGCTAATGGCTAATTAGCTCCTGCTCCTCTTTTTCTACGAAATGACCCCTGGTTATAGCAGTTTAACCGTTTGTAACGTGACCTGAGCCCACTTGCAGCGGGAGGGCAGGACAGAAGTGCATTTTAAAAAATAAATAAATGAAGAACATAAGAGAAGCCGTGCTGGATCAGTCCAGTGGCCCATCCAGTCCAACACTCTTGCCGTACAGTGGCCAAAGGCCTGATCCAACATTGGCATCTCTTATGTTCTCATGTATGACTACAGAGCGTCACTGCCCCGGACAGAGGGTTCCCATACCTTGTGGCCAATAGCTACTGATGGACCTCTGCTCCATACATTTATCCAATCCCCTCTTGGAGCTGTCTCTTCTTGTAGCTGCCGCCACCACTTCGTGTGGCAGTGAATTCCATGTCCTAATCAATCTTTGGGTGAAGTAAAGGTAAAGGTTCCCTTTCTCGAAAGCCAGTCGAATCCGACTCTAGGGTTGCGGTGCTCATCTCTGTTTCAGAGCCGAAGAGCCAGCGCTGTCTGAAGATGTTTCCGTGGTCATGTGGCTGGCATGACTGAACACCAAGGCGCACGGAACGCTGTTACCTTCCCACCGAAGTGGTACCTATTTATCTGCTTGCAATTTCTTGCTTTCGAACTGCTAGGTTGGCAGGAGCTGGAACTAGAGACGGGAGCTCACTCCGTCATGCGGCACACCCGGGTCTCGAACTGCTGAACTACTGACCTTCCTCAGCCTGCAGTTCAGCGTCTTAACCACTTGAGCCACTGCAGCTCCTCCTTTGGGTGAAGTACTTCCTTTTAATGCACATGAACATCTTGATTGCCCTACATTAGGGTTGTGTGGTTGCACAAGGGAAGACTTTTGGTGCACGCCTCAGAGCACGTGACTACAAGGGGTTCATGTTCAGAATTTGCCTGTATCTGAAGGCCCATAGCTCAGTGGCAGAGCATCTGCTTGATATGCGGAAGGTCCCAGGTTCAATCCCCAGCATCTCCAGTTAAGGATCAGACCCTGGAGAGCTGCTGCCAGTCTGAGTAGGCAATACTGACTTTGATGGACTGAGGGGTCTGGTAAGGCAGCTTCACGTGTTTGTGGCCGGAAACAGAAACCTGCTCACTTATCTGAAGTAGTGAGCAGTGACTCTTGAAAGCTCCTCCCCTGCCACAAGTCTTGAAGGTGCTCCTGGTTAAGTGCGCGGACTCTAATCTGGGAGAACCAGGTTTGATTCCCCACTCTTCCACTTGCAGCTGCTGGATGACCTTGGGCAAGCCGTAGTTCTGGCAGAGCTGTTCTTGAAAAAAGCAGTTTCTGTCAAGAGCTCTCTCAGCCCCACTGACCTTACAGGGTGTCTGTTGTGGGGAGGGGAAGGGAAAGGAGTTTGGAAGCCGCCCTGAGACTCCAAGTGAAGGGCGGGGTATAAATCCAATCTCCTTCTCTTCTGCTACGGACAGACAGCCCTGATAGCTACTCTAGTACAGGCTTCCCTGGCGCCACTAGGCCTCCCTAGAGCCTGTAAGCCGCACCACTATAGGCTTCGGATCATGACAACTACCTTGTTCATTTTAACTGGAGATGCCGGGGATTGAACCTGAGACCTTCTGCATGCCAAGCAGATGCTCTACCACTGAGCCACAGCTCCTCTTTACAGCTCTCTGGGGTCTCCGGCGGAGGTCTTTCCCATCACCTACTGCCTGGTCTTTTTTAACTGGAGATGCCAGGGATTGAACCTGGGACCTTCTGCACGCCAAGTGGATGCTTTGCCACTGAGCCACGGCCCCTCCCAGTTGGGAACTTCTTCCTGGAGGCATCAGGGAACAAACCTGCAATTTTCTGCATTCAAAGCAGGAGCTCTGCGATGGCTTGGGACAAACCAACTTCCTTTGGTGAACACATATCGGAGGGGGGGGGGCCTTATACCAAACGAAATCTTTGGCCTATCGAAGTCCATATTTCCCTGCCTTGATTGTCAATGACTCTCCAGGGTCTCAGGTCAAGGTCTTGAATAGCACTGATCACCTGGAGATGCTGGTGATTGAACCTGGGACTTTCTGCGTGCCAAGCAGATCTTTTACCACTAAGCCTTGGTCCATCAAAGTCAGTATTGTCTACTCAGACTGGCAGCTGCTCTCCAGGGTCTCAGGCGGAGGTCTTTCCCGTCACCTCCTGCCTGGTCCTTTTAACTGGAGATGCTGGGGATTGAACCTGGGACCTTCTGCATGCTGAGCAGAGGCTCTGCCAATGAGCCACGGTCCTTTGCCAAAAGAAAGAACACATGAAGCTGCCTTATACTGAATCAGACTATCATTCAATCCCGGTCAGTATTGTCTACTCAGGCTGGTAGCAGCTCTCCAGGGTCTCAGGCGGAGGTCTTTTGTATCACCTGCTGCCCGAGTCCTTTCAACCCGAGATGCAAAGGATTGAATTTAGGACTGTCTACGTGCCAAGCAGATGCTCTACCACTGAGCCACCGCCCTACCTGGGCATCACGTGCCAATCTAATCATTCCACAGTAAAGTGTGTTGGCCGCTTTGGTGTGGCGTAAACCAGTTTTGGGTGTAGTGGTTAGGAGCACGGACTCTAATCTGGAAGAACGGGGTTTGATGCCCCATGCCTCCACATGCAGCTGCTGGTGTGACTTTGGGTCAGTCACAAGTTCGCTCAGAGCTGTTCTCTCAAGAACTGTTCTGGAAAGAGCTCTCTCAGCCCCATCTACCTCACAGGGTGTCTGTTATGGGGAGGGGAAGGGAGACACTCTGAGACTCCTTCGTGTAGTGAAGGGCGGGGGGATGAAGCCAGTCTCTTCTCTTCCTCTTTCCCCACTGCCTTCAACTTCTCCTAGCCTTAAGAACATAAGAACATAAGAGATGCCCATGTTGGATCAGGCCAAAGGCCCATCCAGTCCAACACTCTGTATCACACAGTGGCCAGAAATACCAGGTGCCATCAGGAGGTCCACCAGTGGGGCCAGGACATTAGAAGCCCTCCCCACAGTTGACCCCACCAAGCACCAAGCCTTATTATCTTTTCCAGCGACTCTTCTCTCCCCAACTGTTAGACTTAGCAAGGTTATATACACGAGCCACCAGAAAAATCATAAATGACCCATACGGACAACGGGGACTTGCCCAGAGGCTTTGGAGGAGGCAGTCGTTTGTCCGTTCTTGAAAAAACCATCACTAGACCCTATGGTCCTGACCAGTGCTCCCTCTAAGCTGTGGAGTCTTGTCAGCCAAAATTCTACTTTGCGATCTGCTGGCATTCAAGTTGTGAGCGAGCCATTGGGCTACTGCATCAATCAGTTTGCTCTGGAGCTGTCCTTCCTAGGCTAAGGCAGAAATGTGTGAGCCAGAGGCTAAAAAACTGTGAGCTGGCTCACACTCACTCAGCTTGGAGGAAACACCGGTCCTAACCAACTACCGCCCAGTGTCGAACCTACCGTTCCTGGGTAAGGTGGTCGAGAGAGAGCGGTGACTGAACAACTCCAGGCCTTCCGGTCTGGCTTCCGCCCTAGTCATGGGACGGAGACGGCTCTGGGCACTCTCACAGATGACCTCCGTAGAAATCTGGATCGAGGCGGATCGGCCCCTGCCTGCCCCGGACCCTGCCTGGTGGAACACGCTCCCTACTGAGACCAGAGCCCTGCGGGATCTCCTTCAATTCTGCAGGGCCTGCGAGACGGAGCTCTTCCACCAGGCCTTTGGGTTGAGGCAGCAGACGTCCATCTATGGCCTCCCTGAGGTTGCTGTCACCCGTCTGTCACCTGTCGACTGACCAGCGACAACTGGCCTTTAACTCACTGTACCATCGGGCCGGAACTTTATGGCCAACGGACGCTGTTCCAAGCAGTACCCATCGTCCTAATTGTTATAGGTCCCGGTCACATGGAGACTTTGCCTCGGGAGAAGGCACGACTGCCGGGCGGATTAAACGGGCGCGATCATATGGAAACACCTGGGAAGCGTCGCCCGCCTGCCCCCAGCCCATAGCTTACCGCGGCGTTAAAAAGTACCGCCCACGAGCCACTAGCAAACGGTTTGCCACGGGCCGCAGACGGACTGTCTCCGTCCGATCGCCCCGGCGCCCTCCTTTTGCCCCGTTGAAGCGCTGCAAGAACCACGCGCCGACGAAAAAATGCGGTTTGCTGCCGCCGCGTCTGATCACGTTGCAGTGGCTCGAATTGCGACGGTGCTCATAGCCACGCCTCCTCCCCGCATGATCTGGCCCATGTGACCTGGGCCATATAATGTTTTATTGTGTTTTAATGTCTCAAAATGAAATTGTATTTATTTTAATGATACGACCTGCCCTGAGCCAGCCTGCCGGATGGGCGGGATATAAATGCAAATAAATAAATAATAAATAAACACATCCCACCCACCCCACCAGCCACCTACCTTCCTCCTTCTCCTCTTCCGAGTCTGGGCAAATCATCATCGCTGTCGTATCGCCGGGGATTGTCGAAGAAGTACGCCCGGGAGTTGAAGCTGTGGCTGTTGATCATGCCCGCAGGCGTCTGGTGGGTTGAGAGGCCGAGACATGGTGATTCAAACAAGGCACGCGGAACTCTCTCTGGGAACATTTGGGGCGGCGGGGGGGGGGGGGGTGGGGGGCCAGCGCTTCCCTTATGTTACCCACGGTAGCTAAACTAAGCAAGCATGTGCGGCTGCACAGAAGTCAGGGACAAAAGAAAACAAAGAAAGCACGGCAGCTAGCTGACACCATATTGATGGAGGTAATCCCAATAGTAATGTATGGCTGCGAGAGTTGGGCTATAAGGAGGGCCGAGCGCCGAAGAATAGATTCTTTTGAACTATGGTGCTGGAGAAGACTCTTGAGGGTCCTTTGGACTGGAAGGAGATCAAATCAGTCCATCCTAAAAGAAATCAACCCTGACTGTTCCCTGGAAGGCGCTCTGAGACTCCTTTGTGGATTGAAGGGCCATGGGGTATAAATCCAATCTCTTCTTCTTTTACCTCACAGGGTGTCTGTGGTGGGGAGGGGAAGGGAGAGGAGTTTGTAAGCCGCTCTGAGACTCCTTCGGGTAGTGAAGGGCCGGGGATAAATCCAATCTCCTCCTCTTCTAATCTGGGAGAACCAGGTTTGATTCCCCACTCCTCCACCTGCTGTTCTCTCAAGAGCAGTTCTCGAGAGAGCTCTCTCAGCCCCACCCACCTCACAGGGTGTCTGTTGTGGGGACGCAATGTTCCCTCCAAGCTGTGGAGTCTTGTGAGCAAAAATTCTTCTTTGTGAGCTACTGGCCTTAAAGCTGTGAGCGAGTTATTTGGTTACTGCATCAATCAGTTTGCTCTGGAGCCCTCCTTTCTGAGCTAAGACAAAAATGTGTGAGCTGGAGGCTAAAAAACTGTGAGCTAGCGCACACTAACTCAGCTTAGAGGGAACACTCGTGGGGAGGGGAAGGGAAGGGAGTTTGTCAGCCACTCTGAGACTCCGAGTGAAGGGCGGGGTATAATAAATCCAATCTCCTCTTCTTCTTTAATCAGTTCACAGGCACATTAAAAACTGTTTGGGTTGTTTCCCCCACTGCGGTGCGTGCGTCCGCGTATATAAACAGAAAACTAGTCAACGAAAATCTCACACCGCCTTACCAAGTTCGGCGTCATCCTCTGTGCCCGGAAGAACAGGACCACGAACACGGTTGGCACGAGCTCCCACAGGAAGAGCACGACCCCAAAAACCACATACTCCTCACTGCTGACTTCCTCCCCTCGGGCCTGCAAGGACAGAGAAGACATCCAAGCTCAAAGGTCATGCACACAGGCATAAGCAGGCAAGGGAGCAATTCAGTCATATCTGTTCGCAAGCTTGAAGATAGACTCATACTATGCCCTCTGTGCGGGGCTTCCCTTGAAGACTGATCAGAGGCCGCACACTGTCTAGCAGCTCAACTTTTATTTCAAGAGTCTGATATACTGCCCTTCCACATTGTGCCCGATAATAAAAGAAACACAAGAGAAATCACGTTGGATCAGGCCACTGGCCCATCCAGTCCAATACTCTGTGTCACACAGTGGCCAAAAACACCAGGTGCCATCAGGAGGTCCACCAGTGGAGCCAGAACTCCAGAAGACCTCCCACTCTTGCCCCCAAAGCACCCAAGAAGACAGAGCATCACTGCCTCAGACAGAGTGTTCCTTCTATACCTTGTGGCTAATAGCCACTGATGGACCTCTGCTCCATATTTTTCTCCCATCCCCTTTTGAATACTAGTAGCCTATGCTTGTAGCCTGTAGCCGCCACCGCCACCACTTCCTGCGGCACTAAATTCCACGTGTTCATGACTCTTTGGGTGAAGGAGGACTACCTTTTATCTGCTTTAAGCCTCCTGCTCATTAATTTCATGGAGTGCCCACGAGTTCTTGTCTTGTGAGAAAGGGAAAAAAGGACTTCATAGAATCATGGAATGTTAGAGTTGGAAGGGACCTTGCAGGTCATCTAGTCCAACCCCCTGCACTCTGCAGGACACAGCCGAAAGATAGCCCTGCAACTTATCTGAAAGATGGTTGTCCAGCCTGTGCTTGAAAACGTCCAGCGAAGGAGAATCCACCACCTCCTGAGGCAGACTGTTCCACTGCTCAACCACTCTTACAATTAGGAAGTTTCTCCTGATATTTAGCCGGTATCGACTCCCTTGTAATTTCCACCCATTAGATCTAGTCTTGCAATCCGGAGCAAGAGAGAATAGATCCGCGCCATCTTCTACATAACAGCACTTCAAATACTGCAATCATGTCCCCTCTAAGCCTTCTCTTTCCCAGGCTAAACATACCCAACTCTTTCAGACTTCTTTCTCTACCTTCTCTGTCCCATGCATAATTTTGTAGACCTACATCATGTCACCCCCTCCAAGCTAAAGAGCCCTAACCTCTTTGATGTTTCTTCCATCCTCTGCACCTTTTCCAATGTGGTGACCAGAACTGCCCATAGTATTCCAGTGAGGCCGCACCACAGAATTAATACAGGAGCATTACGATACATAGGTTAACAATAAGATGCCCAAGCAAATGACAGTGCACAGTGGAGAAACGACGACTGAGGGGTGACATGATTGAGGTTCATAAGATTATGCATGGGAAAGAGCAGGTAGAGAAAGAGGTACTTTTCTCCCTTTCCCATAATACAAGAACTCGTGGGCACTCCATTAAATTGCTGAGTGGTCGGGTTAGAACGGATAACAGGAAGTCCTTCTTCACCCAAAGAGTGATTAACACTTGGAATTCACTGCCACAGGAGGTGGCGGCTACAAGCATGGACGGCTTCAAAAGGGAATTGGATAAGCATATGGAGCAGAGGTCCATCAGTGGCTATTAGCTACAAGGGATAGATAGGGACTCTGGGGCAAGTGATGCTCTGTCATCTTAGTGCTTGGGGGGGTCAACAGTGGGATGGCTTCTGGTGTCCTGGCCCCACTGGTGGACCTCCTGATGGCACTGGTATTTCTGGCCACTGTGTGATACAGAGTGTTGGACTGGATGGGCCTTTGGCCTGATCCAACATTGGCATCTCTTATGTTCTTATGTTCACACCTCTCCTGGCTCATTCTCAGCTCCACGACTGAACTGGTCACGTACAGAATAGTTTGCTCTGCTAACAGTTTACAGGCTCAATTCAAAAAGAAGCTTATGACCCTTTACGTTGACCGTACTCGTTCATCTCAGGGACTCATGAACAGTGTGTCAGGTAGCCCTGTCATAGGTCTGGAATATGTGTGTGTGTGCCCTCCCGTTTTCTGTCTCAGCTCACCCTGGCTCACCAACTGTTTGCTATCTTGCGCTTGACCTTGTAGATGCTCCAGCTGCACTTTTACTCAGCTGGGAAAGTTAACGGGTTTTGCTTTGCCCGCCCACACGAGATGTATCCATTGACTCATGCTTACCGGGGAGGATGTGTGATTCTAGTATAAGTCAGAGGCCATGGTATTCGCGGCCATTCCTGACACAAGCTGTACACGTGTCTCTAGTACTGGATTTCCCAATAAACAGTTATCTTCTCATGAAGCCCTGTGTTGCATAACCTGACTAAGGACCCTGACACAGTGCTCCCTCTAAGATGTGGAGTCTTGTGAACAAAAATTCTACTCTGTGAGCTCCTGGCATAAAAATTGAGAGCAAGTGATTTGACTACTGCATAAATTAGTTTGCTCTGGAGCCACATCCTTCCTGAGCTAAGGCAAAAATGTGTGAACCAGAGACCAAAAGACTGTGAGCTAGCTCACACTAACTCAGAGGGAACACTGCTCATGAACACACAAAGATGCCGTATAGTGAAACAGACCATCAAGGTCGGTATTGTCTACTCTCACTGGCAGCAGCTCTCCGGGGTCTCAGGCGGAGGTCTTTCACATCACAGATTGACTGATCCCTTTAACTGCCCTGAGCCTTTGGGGAGGGTGGGATATAAATCCAAAAATAAATAAATAAATAAAATAAATAAATAAACTGGAGGTGGCAGGGATTGAACCGGGGACCTTGTGCATGTCAAGTGGATGCTCTGCCACTGAGCCACGGACACTTACTAGACGGCTCTGTCAAGCAGTTCCTTAATAGGAAGGGGAAACCTGCAATGCCTTCTTTTTTCCCTTGGTGAGGGCAGAGGCCACAGATCTGTGGAACAGGCTTGGCATGTGGGAGGTCTCCAAAAAGGTTAGGGTCCTGCCAACCGGGAGCGAACCCTACAAGTCTTCACAGCAGAGAGAGGTAATGAGCACGGCAATTGTGCCTTTTTTCCTGCTGAGTCTCAGAGCGGCTTACAAACTCCTTTCCCTTCCCCTCCCCACAACAGACACCCTGTGAGGTCGGTGGGGCTGAGAGAGCTCTTGACAGAAACTGCTCTTTTTCAAGAACAGCTCTTATCAGAACTACGGCTTACCCAAGGTCATCCGGCAGGTGCAAGTGGAGGAAGAGAAGAAGAAGAGAAGAGATTGGATTTATACCCCGCCCTTCACTACCCAAGGGAGTCTCAGAGCGGCTCACAAACTCCTTTCCCTCCCCCTCCCCACAACAGACACCCTTGGAGGCAGGTGGGGCTGAGAGAGCTCTTGACAGAAACTGCTCTTTTTCAAGTACAGCTCTTGTCAGAACTACGGCTTACCCAAGGTCATCCAGCAAGTGCAAGTGGAGGAAGAGAAGAAGAAGAGAACAGATTGAATTTATACCCCGCCCTTCACTACCCAAAGGAGTCTCAGAACGGCTCACAAACTCCTTCCCCTCCCCACAACAGACACCCTGTGTGGTAAGTGGGGCTGAGAGAGCTCTTTCGAGGACTGCTCCTGAAAGAACAGCTCTAAAAGAACTTGTGACTGACGCAAGGTCACACCAGCGGCTGCAAGTGGAGGAATGGGGAATCAAACCCGCTTCTCCTGGATCAGAGTCCGTGTTCCTAACCACTACACCAAACTGGCTCTTAGAATCTCCTTTCAGTTTGGTGTCGTGGCTAAGTGTGCGCGGACTCTAATCTGGGAGAACCGGGTTTGATTCCCCACTCCTCCACTTGCACCTGGCTGGATGACCTTGGGCAAGCCGTAGTTCTGATAAGAGCTGTCCTTGAAAAAGAGCAGTTCCTGTCAAGAGCTCTCTCAGCCCCACCCACCTCACAGGGTGTCTGTTATGGGGAGGGGTAGTGAAGGGCGGGGACGGCAAAGGATGAGATGCTTAGACAGTGTCATCGATGCAACGAACATGAAATTGAGCAAACTTCAGAGGACAGCGGAAGACAGGAGGGCCTGGCGTGACCTGGTCCATGGGGTCGCGAAGAGTCGGACTCGACTGTGCGACTGAACAACAACAACTTCTTGAAAAAGAGCAGTTTCTGTCAAGAGCTCTCTCAGCCCCACCTACCTTAGAGGCAGTGTTCCCTCAAAGCTGAGTTGGTGTGAGCTAGCTCACAGTTTTTTACCCTCCGGCTCACAATTTTTTCTCTTCGCTCAGGAAGGATGGCTCCAGAGCAGACTAATTTAGGCGGCAGCCAAATCACTCGCTCACAACTTTAATGCCAGTAGCTCACAAAGTAGAATTCTTGCTCCCAAGACTCCACAGCTTAGAGGGAGCATAGCTTACAGGGTGTCTGTTGTGGGGAGGGGAAGGGAGAGGAGTTTGTAAGCCACTCTGAGACTCCTTTGGGTAGTGACGGGCGGGGTATAAATCCAATCCCCCCTCCCCCCCCCTTTACGGGGATCTTTCTGGAGGGGTGTCTGTGTGTGTGCCTGGTTCAAAGGCCCTCGTTACCTGATCTGAAAGGTTGTCCCAGCCATAGTTGAAGGGACTAGGCACGCGGTCTGGGGAGACGGCCAACGTCACCAGGTTATAGAAGGCCCTCGACGAGCACAAGAGGATGACCACAGAACCCACGAGGAGCGCTTGGCAGACAGACGTACCCTGGAGGGGGAGAGAAAGCGCAGGCAAAAGAGAAAGAGGCGCATTAAAAATACAACAGCTCTCTCTCCGGTTAAGTGCTTATTTCACGTCGGGTAAACTGTGTGCAGGGGAAAGGGACCTGGAACAGCTATGCATCAAAACACCGCTTTTTAAATAATTTGCATGCTCCAAGTTTACACAGCCACGGAGAAGCGGATGCCACTGAAGAGCCCAGGGGTATTCCGGCAGCCTCGAGGACGGCCAGATGGCTCTTATCACAGAAAGGAGTGAGCAAGATTGGTTTGCTACTGGATCTCCCCCAAGGGGCGCGGGGAGCGCCCGCTCTGATCTGCTCAGAAGCGACAACCCAGAAGGTCAGACCAGAACCAAGGGGTTGAAATTAAATCGGA